GACAGCCTTCAACCATACTAGTCCTGCCTGTAGCATATTCTGGCTTTTCAACAGAAACGATAAGAAACTACAGCCGTTCTCTTCTCCTCATGCCTTTTAGACCACCCCTTCAATGAAAGGAATGCAGTTAGAATTCAAGAGTTGAATCATACTGTTCCAACCTGTCCTCCATATTCTATCTGCACCTGTTCCTACCTGCTCCTATGGATCCTGAAAAAATTAAAACGGAAATATTTGGATTCCATATTCTAAGTGTCTGTCTCTTAGTGTACTATAATATAGATGATTAGTTTCAGTTTAAACCTCTCCTTGTGTAAGGCCCTATCCCACAGACCAAAAGCTCAACCCACTTTTAAAACCATTCATACTATGCAATAGTTTTTTATACATTAGTATAACATTACTCATTAAACAAAATTCCAATAAATCCGTTTCGACTGCTGCACCCCGCAGAAAACAGCCTTCTCCGCGCTGCAAGCTTGGAATGCCACGTCACTAGGTAGCGGACACCTTCTTGATAGGCCACTGCAGCATAGTCCCAATCGCCAGCCTTGGGGAGCGAGTCCGGGCCGGATATAGGGAAGGTCCGAACGATATTTATATGTCTCCATGGCACGTCGTTTTTGATGCCACCGCGGAAAGACCCCCCCCAAACAACTCCAGGCCGTTATCCTTTTCTCCGCAATTATATATATATGGCAGTCACTATGGCAGTCACTATGGCAGTCTCATGGGTCGTGTCTGGGTATTCATGGTTTGTAATGACTTGTCTTGTGCCATCTGTTGCGATCATTTTCCGAAGCATCCATGGCCCCAAGTTCAGAAGACCATGACATCCGAATTCCCATGGGGGCGCCACGGGCGCCATCCACTTTCGATGATGATTGCAGGGAGTGTAAACGGTTCCTAGCAGCTGGAGTTCTTGAAAAGCATTTCCCCAACCTACCAGCACCTTCCAACAGGTGGTTTTTAGACACCTCTTAACCTCTAAGAGCCTATTTATAGACCACCTCTTGGACGGTCCTGGAATCTGAGATCCATGTGGATGACCAGTCGGCCGCCGCGTCGGCCAATATCTTTCAAAAGGAACGTCTGGTGCCTGGGGCTGGAGGAGTCGGGTCCAAGTTCCTACTTTTGCTCCGCAGTTCGTAGGAGCCTGACATGTGAAGAGACAACTTCACACAGGGGGTCGCGTGTATGACGTTGAGAAAGACACGGAAGATCACCCTCTTATAAAATATATAACACCAATTTGCAAAGGGCCCTCACCAAGGTCTAAAAAGGCATTGAACAAACACATCGACCGAATCGACCAACCAAGACCCCCCCCCTCTGCACAGTCTGCCCAGTCCGCCCCACCTGAAAGCCGCGATTCCCAATGTCCTTGCACTTCTGTGCAAAAGCAGATCGCTCCTCACACGTCATCTCACCAGGCTCCTTGGGCAGTCTCACACCAGTTTTTTCGGGGAAAAGAGAGCGGCGCGGTGCGGTCCGGCGGCTTGAAAGCTCCGCCAATCCAATCCAGTGACCCCCAGTCAGTGACCAGTCAGTGCCCCTCGTGGAAAAAAGGTTACCATTTGGGGCCCAGGAGACCAGCAGTCACCCAGCTGACTCCTTCACTTGCTCGATCGGCTTGCAGCTCTCCAGCCTGCTCGGCAGAACATGACATTGAAGCTGTAGAGGCAAGTCTTGATTTAATTGAAAAAAGAACTAACACACCTGCAATGAGTCACATAGAAACCTTCCACCTGAACGTCATACAGAAACCTGCCACTCCGCTCTGCACCTCTTCTTTTGTTTGTTCTTAGAAACTCGTTACCTATGTGATCCGTTGTGTAGGTGACTGTAGGTGTGTTGTTCGGTGTGGTGTGCACCCCACCAAATGGGGTGCCCTTCATACGTTTTGCCCTTCCGGCCGACTCAACACATCTCAACGGCATACGTACAGCACCGGCCACTCATCGAAGCAACTTATGACGCGGCTAAAAAGCCCACCATGCGACCCTTGTAAGAAGTGCGATATGCTTAAAATAAAAATGGATTGAGAAGCCTATGTTGCCTGGCAGGGCCTACTCTGATGAGAGGCCTATGTTGCCTGGCAGGGCCTATTCTGATTGGGCGGAGACGTCTATCTTCCACAAGATCAATGTCAAATTGCAGTGGGTACTGCTCTTGCTGGAACTAACATGGACGTGGACAACCCACTGCTTGGTATTCGGATTTCATGGTCTTCCTTACAGGACCTTGCCATCCACGTCACCCTGTTAGTTCCAAGCAATGCTAAGACTTATGGATCTGCTACAAGCCAAGCAGTGCTAAGACTTCTAGCCAGCCATGCAACTATAGACACTAAATGGCACTGCATGAGGCTCAGAAACCCAATTCTCCCATCTTCTTGGCCATTCCTCTACTGACCGGTGCCGTCCCACCTGCCATCGCCCTCGGTGTCCGCCATGGGATGGCGACGATAGGCTCTCTCGCGATCGACGATTCGGCTGCTGTTCGGTCGTGAGAGACCGCTCGTCCAAAAGGGTGAAGCCAGGACCTTCCAAAAGGTGGTTTTTTCCAAGCCTAACAGGTGGTTTCTGGGCACCTGGTTGTTTGCAGAAAACACCTGGCCAGGAGGGTCCAGGTCTACCACATGGTGATTCATGTCTATCTGCATTTAGATTGTTTGAGATCTCATGAGATATCGTCTGAAGCCTCTTGTGAACTCACGAAGTTTCTTTGACCAAACAATCAAAAAGGAATCAAAATGGTTTATAATTGAGGATTAGCTGAGGGGGTTGTGGTTGGCTGGTGTGGGGCAGGTTGTTGATTGCAGTAATCAATTCCAAATGTGTGGATTCACCATGTTTTCCCCTTTGTCTGTCGTTCAATTCCGCCGTACCCTTTCACTATACATGAATAGTGATTCCCACTTAGCTCTCCTTGAGCAAACGCTTGCCAAGTTGCTCAGGTGTTTCAACATTCTAACTCTTGATATCTCTTGATTCTTCATGCTTGCACATCTTAACGCATGCCGCATGCCAAAGGACGCTTTGCGCTTCTTGCTGGCTTCTGCGCCAGGTTTGGGGTACAAGCTTGTGAACCTCCTAGCAGTACTTCGAGAAAAATCATCACCTTTGAGGACGACTGGATTGGCGAGACGAGGATGGCAATCGACTGGATTGACAGTCCTTTAAGATGAACCTCCCCCCAAAAGCCTAAAGCTTTCAAAGGGGCTAGCTAACTCAGTTTGTTGCCCAAACCAGGGAATTGATCGGAGCCAACTGGAAAGCCGTCACTGGCAAATGTGCACGTAGGGCTGGGGTGTAACGTAGGGTGCGGCGTTTTCTTTGACTGCTCAACACCACCCTTCAACTGGCACACCATATATCATGCAGGCCATTCTTTCTTACAAGTTAGCTGATCCTTCACCACACCCCCTGCTTGAAACAGCGAAGCCATGCGCTTGTGAATCTTGCTCGAACGATTCCGCCGCACACACACCTACACATCGTCCAAGAATTGCCTGCAGATGTTGTGAAGGTCCAATTCATCCTGTCTCTGTCCCCTGTCTCCCTTCTTGGCGCTCCGGGCCACTCCGCCGTTTTTTTTTGGACCGCTCACTCCGCTCCGCTCGCCACCTGGAAGCCCTCCACGATCGCCGGCGCCAGCGCCGCGGCGTTGTCCGCGGAGGCGTCGGACTCGGCGTCTGGCAGCACGAGGGTCAAGGTGTACCTGAGATACTGATGGTATGCCTGGCACCCGGGGGGATACCCATAAAGAATTGAACGGAGAATTTAGGCTCTTAAACTCAGTGACTTAGGGTCACAGTCCCAAAGGTTGTAGCTGAAGCTTAGGCACACTTGTAGCTCAAACACGCGTGAGCTCTGGTATCGAAATGAACACAAAAGTAAACCACAAACTTGAACAAACGGCTGCAGTGAAACATACATCTATACAAGCTATGTCATGTACATGTAACTGGTGCTACATCTGATCACGCCTCCCGAGTTTAACATCTCCCAGAAGTTAAGCGAGTCAGGATTAGCACTTCGGTGAATTAGCTCGTAGCCCTTCAGTACATCTTGGTCTTGAAGAAGTACCTACTCTAGCTCAAGCCGTTCACGCTTTCAGGGTCAGTTCATGTTCACCTTCCAGGTAGTGGAAGTTCATGCCTTTCATGGCTGTAGTCATTTTCTCTTCAGTGACAGCTTTCGTTAGCACGTCGGCCAACATTCGGTCGGTGCCTTCCTTCTTGAGACGAAACTCTTTCTTTGCTGTACGCTCTTGTACCCAGTGGTACTGAGTGTCAACATGTTTAGCTCGTCCCAAGCCTCGACGGTTTCCCATGGCGATGCCAGCGGAAGCGTCCATTGTCACCTCTTTGCTGGGAAACAATCCCCAGTCTCTTGCAGTTGATGCGATTCCAAGCATTTGACATGCTCCTGAAACAAGTCCGTAGTACTCGGATTCGCCACTGCTCAGGGAGACAACTCCTTGGCCTTTGCTGTACGTAATTAGTGAGACAGCATTTGTTGGCCATGAGCACGCCTCCTGACACACTCTTTCGTGTCCTTATGCAACCTGCATGGTCGGCGTCTGACCACATGTTGAAGGGGTTGCAGGTGCTTTGGTTTGGAAACAACTGTGCAACTCTTGGTCGATACCTGACATATCGAGCCAATCGTTTCAGCATATTCCAGTGCCTCGATGTTGGATTCTGTAGACCTTGTGCCAATGAGCGCGTTGCAGTTTGCAGATCAGGTCGATCCTGTGCCAAATACGCGGCTCTCATAGCAATAGATCTATACATCGTTGCATCTTCGGCACTCAGCGGAACTTCTTCGTGTTGGAGTTCCTCTTGACTTGGCTTGGCCAAAGGTGTTTTGACCTTGCCTGGTTGACCAGTGCCTAACCACTTGATGATCAACTCTGCATGTCTTGGATCTGGCTCCCACCAAATGCCTTCATTTGACCAGGTGATGATGCGATTCAGCACTCTGATCTGTTGGCTTGCCTTTGGTGAACCTGGTGGACCAAGAATGCCTCGTTCCACAACTTGCCATTCTTTGGCTGCTGAAGTGTGAAACCATTTGATGTCATCAAAACTTCCAACTGTCGTGAAATCGTCTCCATGCACCTCCGTTCGAAGTTCTCTGGATGCATGGTAGTAGATGCATGGGTTGGACTTGCCTTGAACAAATCCTAGCTTCTTCATAAACTCTGCAATGGTCAGCTCCCAATTCATGGGTGCGTCTCTGGTGCCGTAAAGGCTTCTGACCAATCTTCCTACCACATCTCCATCTTCTGGTTTCTTGCCTTCTGATGGAATTTCAACATAGAGTTCTCTTGTTGCTTTGGAGTAGAAATGAGCTCTCTTCACATCCAAAAATCCTAGGAATGATTGTTTTGCTTTTCTTCTTTCGCCTTTCTCCAATGGAAGGCTGTCGCTGACTGCAATGGTTAGCAGTAGCTTCAAAGCTGCTAGGCTCGGCATGGCTGCGAAAAATTCGTCAAAACCTGAGCCTCTTTTGATCTCTTGTGCTACCAATCGACTTCTGTAGAGAGGATTGGTTTCATCTTGCTTGTTCACATCTACCCATCGAGTTCCAATGATTTTGGTTCCTTTTGGAACTTTGCTTCTTGGGATCTTCTCCCAGACTCCCATTGATTCGACAATGTCGATTTCGTCTTTTCTGGCTTTCTCTACCTTCTCAGGTAGAAGCTCTTTTCCACTGATGTCATCGTAGTACCACCAGTCTTTTGCCTCTTCTGCCATTTCTTCTGGCAGTGGGATCTTCTCTTCACACACTGGTTTCTCTGGGTCGATGCTAGATAGCACTCTCTCTCTCTGTCTTCTAGGATTAGGCTTTCTAGAGCCATCTCAATGCTCTGGATGTCTCTTGTTCTCTCGGCTTCATCTTCATGTTCGCCTTCTGCTTTTCTCTTCTTGTCTTTATCTACTCTGGCTTTTGCTGTGGGTGATCCTGCTGGTTCATGTTGTTCTTCGTGTTCTCTCTTTTCTCCATGTGGTTCAGGTTCGCGTGATCTGCGAATACCTGATGCTGAAGCTGACGCTGTGCCTGGTGTTGGTGGTGCTGCTTCTGGTTCGTACCAAAGTTCTGTCACAATGTCCATCTTGTGTGGTAATGCTCCATTGAGTATCTCTGGTGGAAGGTCTGTTGTCATGACTCCACTCTCGATGATTGCATTGTTTGCATGGTTTCTTGTGACTCGGTGCCAGACGGTAGACCAATCAGGTCCTCCTGGCATGGTGGTTTGAAAACAGTAAGCTTCGACGTCAAGTCGTGCGAACACTCGACACGAATCGGGAACTCCCGATGGTCTTTTGCTTTCATATCCATGAAGGATTTGAGGTCTCTTGCCACTGACGGGTTGTGGCATGCCAGTGATTGCCTCTCCAACTCGGCTTTCATGTCTTGCTACTCTTGGGTTCTCTTCTTCTCCTCTGATGCTCTCTTCAAGTCTGTCTCGACACCTGTTGGTGTGATGGATGCCTGTAGATCTCTTGCCAATCTGTGTGGCATCACAAGCTGGGCAACCTGCAGTGTACCCAAACTTTTCCAGGTCTTTCTTGGTAATGTAAAGTCTTCTCAGCTTTCTTTTCTTGTCATCGATTGCCGGTGGTTGAACTAAAGCTTCACCACTTGGGCTGGCAATGATTGGTTCCCTTGGGGCTGCAATCGCTGGTTCTTCGCGAATTGCTTGAGGATCCCAGGGAATCCCAGTGATCGATTTCAGCAACTCTGAATCATATCGATCTTCTTCTGGCTTTCTTCGGATGGACTGCACTGTGAAAACACCTGTGGAATTTCCTACTATCTTCTCTGTGGTGGTGTCTTTCACTCCTAGAAAAATTCCTTTGGTCCATTGGGCCTCGAACTTGTGACCTCTCTTGAGGTATTCGATGGCCTCACCAAATGGTGGAATTGCTACTTTCCATTCACGTCCACGAAGTCGTGAATACGGAGTCTTTCCGTCTTGAAGTTCGGTGGATCGGAAAAACAAGTTATAGACAGTGGATGCGTGTTCGACCAACCAAGTCAAAACAGGTGAATCGTCAGGAAGTTTCTCACCATAGTTCGACTCGATTGCGGCTCGAAGAGTCCTGGCTTGTCCTTCCAAGGTTTGAACTGCTCGTTCAATCTCTCCCTTGGATTCTTTGACTCCTCTCGGGCTCTTCTCGATGATCAGGGTTCCTTCAAACCCATTCTTTACTGCCTCAACAACGGATGTGAGAGCAGGTTCAGGATCATGTCGAATGATCAGTTTGGAGTATCCTAGTTTCTTGATGTCGTTCAAAAGTACTTTGGATCCATATGGACCTTTTGTCACACCTTTGTAGGGCAACACATGAGCAAAAAGATGCTTCGTCCATCGATCTCTGACAACAAGAATTGGTGCGTGAGTCTTCTCGTCCAAAACTACGTCATCAGTCCGCGAGTTCATGAAACAGTAGTCTACAGTTACTACTGGGGTTGTCTCATCGGTGTGGTCTATCTTCCTGTGGGGGTTTGCCTTAGCTTTTCCCCTTACACAGGCCTCACACCAAGACCTAAAAGGAAAGTGTGAAACAGCATGCTCCTCAAACTCTTTTCGCGTCGGGCGAATGGGAGCATTGATTTTGAGCTCAGGCGGAACTTCGTCGCCTGGCTCGGCCTCTTCGGCCTGTTCGTCCACTACCGGACTTACCCATTGCGGTGCCGGACGAAAGGGTGGAATGCAATCGGCACAGAACAGACGCCGTTGCTGAACGAGATCGGGATCTTAGTCCCGTCTCGGGAGATATGTCCACCAGATCCGTGCATCTGAATGGACCAGCCCTTGCTCATAAGGGCCCCCGCAGAGAGCAGCGGTTTTGCAACCGCCATCACCCGGAAACAGCAACGTCCATTGAGGGAGTTCTGGCCGATGCCGATGGTCACCATGGCATCGATCTTGCCAAGGTCCTTGACCACTTCGCCTGAGGCAGTCTTGTAGACTTTGCAGGTGCCTTCAGGCTGGATAGGCTTGTAGCCCAATGCGGTGGCCAGTTCAACAGGGATGCAGGAGGTCGCGGCTCCTGAATCCAAGGTCACCTGATGAGCCATTGGCGTCTCCATGGATGCCAGCTCCAAACTCCTGAGAGCGAGTGGATCTTCATCGCCTTCATCAGGCTCGCTTGAGGGAGTGGGATATCGTTTTCCCTTTCCCTATCCTGAGTGGCCACGTTGACAGCTCGAGTCAACTGCACTTTCTTCTGCTTGCCCTTTCCTTGGCCCTTCTCGGAGGCAGCCGGAGCCGAAGCGGCTCGGCTTTTGCCCGGGGATCGTGACCGGGACTTCAGCCGAAGCGTCTGCCTTGGCGCTTCGCTGAATTCCTCTGGCTTGGATCCTGGTCCACGGAATCGCTCCATATGCTCTTCAGTTGAGCTCTGCGTTCCTCCTTGGTCTTGCCCTTCTTCTCAGGAGGTGGAGGTGTCTTGGCAATGCGCCTTTGCTTTGGCGTCTTTGGGCCAACCTCATCTTCCTCCTCCTGTTCTTCCATCATCTTCTGCATATGGGCTGTCATGTAGAAAGGAGGTTCGTTCTTGACGGTCTCAAGCTTTGGATCTTTCATCTTCAAATGCTTTGCCACATCTTCGGGCTTCAGATCCATGTCGGCATCTTTCACATGCTTTGGCGCATCTTTTGAAGTTGGGCTGCCTTGCTGTCCCTTGGCAGTCTTGATGCGCTTTCCCATCTCTTTCTGCTTGATCGTCCATTCCTTTGCCCACTGGTTGAGGACTTTTGGTGGGCAGCAATTCAAAGCCATATGATGGTTCCATAGGCCGGTGTCATTGTCACACCTCAGGGCCTTGTTGCACGCACGGCAAACCATGTGCTTGCTGCCATCTCTGTTGTTGTGGGTGCATTTGGCTACCCATTCATCATAGCTGAGGATGCGCTCTTGGAACATGTGATCGAGCCATGGCACAGTGTCTTTCTCTTTTTCTTCCTCTTGTCCATCTGACTCATCGTCAGCTGGCTCAGTGCCATTCTCATCCTCTTCAACTTCACCTTCAAACTCTTCTTCTTCTTCGAGTCCCTCGATCTCAGTCACATCAAGGGGATTGATGTTCTCCATGACTGGAGCTGCGAAGGATGGTGCACTTGTTGCTCCTTCGCCTTGGCTTTCGACGCGCTTCATCACAACGTAGTCCTCTGGGTTGAACCCAGCTGCAGTAAGCGCTTTGTCGATGACACTGCGGGCTGGATGGCTGGTAGCCGTCCATGTCTGGCTTTCCCGCTTCATCTCTGCCAACTCTTGAGTGGAAAGATCCTCGATCTTGGGCTCCTTCTCTTTTGGCTTCTCAGGCTTCTTTGCCTTTCCTGGCTTCTTGTAGCCACGATGCCTCTGGGCCTTTTCCCGACCTCGAGGCTGAGGGGCTTCATCAAACTTTCCCTCATCATCTTCATCATCCCAAGCTTGAAGTCGACCAGTACCCTTGGCACGAGCGATCTCATAGTAGTCGAGCTCCTCAGGGTAATTGGCCTCATAGTCGCGCCAGGATTCGAAACGATCCTGGGCCTTCTCAACGCGATGTTGCTCGGCGCGCTGACGGCTCTTCTCCTTCTTCTTGGCCAATCTTGGGTCCATGCCTGATGCCAAATCAGCTGAGAGCCTTGGCGACTCCGCCGGAACCGAAGCGGCGCGGCGAGGAGTTGGTCTCTTCAGCAAGATCTTGGCTTCTCTCTCCTTTTCTTCATACTGTTCTTTCAGCCTCTTCATCTCGGCCTGTTGCTCCAAGATGGCGTCATTGGCTGCTTTGCCTTTGGCTTCGGCCTCTTCGATGGCCTTCTGGATGGTCTCAGACTTCTTCTCATACAGCTCGCGATTGGACTGCATGGTCTCTTGGATTGCTTGGTTCATGACTGCAATCCCAGCAGCTGCAATTCCAGGACGACCTTTTCCAGCTCCTGGCTTCTTTGGCATAGCCTTGACTTCAGTCTCAGCTTTTGCCTTGGCTGCTCCACGAGAAATTGCGGCAGGTGCTGCTTTCTCCATCTCGATGGCAAAGAGGGTGGCGATGTCAGCGGAATACTCAGGCTCGGGTTGATGCTCTTGAGCCATAGAGGTTTCAGATTCCTCCACTGAAGCTACCTTCTTACTCTTACTCTTGCCTTTACCTTTAGAGTCCTTTCCTTTGCCACCTTTGCCTTTACCCTTGGAGTTTTGGTTGTGCCAACTACTCTTGTTCCAATCATTCTTATACCAATCGTTCTTGTTCCATGAGTTGTTCCATGACGAGGGATTGGACCATGAAGAACCTTTTCCCTTCTGTTTACCTTTGTCGTTTCCCTTGCCTCCATCTTGACTCTTTCCTTTTCCTTTGCCTCCTTTTGAGCCACCTTTGCCTTTTCCTTTGGCTTTGGCCAGACTTGCAAGTGAAGCTTGCATCTGGCTGGCAGCTGCGGCTAGTGCATCAACATCCATTGGTGCTGATCCAGTCTTTGCTTCTTTTCGGCTCTCGATGTTCTCGAGGTAGGCCAAAATCTCTGACTTCATGATGGCATAGTCAGTGAGTCTCGAACTCTGGAGGTCAAGGTGATCTTGAAGTTTGGCTGGACACATCTGCTGAAGACAACTTCTTGCGATGTCATCATCAAGAGCTTTCTTCTTTCGCTCTTCGTACTTTCGCCTGATGTTTTCCCAGGCTTCTATGCTCTCTCTGAGCTTATCCAATGCACACTGTTGTGGGTGCAGGACCTTCTTCAGCAAAGCTGAGTTTGCTTGTGGGTTCTGTGGATCATACTTGGTGATCAATCGCCTCAATGCCTCTAGGCCAAAGTGCTGACCTCTGGAGGTATTCTTGACAATCTCGAGGGCTTCTCCCTCACATAGTGAGATCAGAGCCTGTCGGGCCTGAGCTGAAACAAGCTCGGCTCCTTCAGGATAATCATCTTCCAGAGATGTCTCATTGATCTCTGTATCTTGATGCTCTTCGAGGAGCTGAATGCACTTTCCTGCATTCTTGTGACTTGTCTCAATCCAAGTCTTGAACTTGAAGTACCATGAGTCCCAGGTACCTGTATGTCCACTGAACTTGTCAGGCTTTGGAATGCCTTTCAACTCTGATCTGTCTCTTACTTCTACGCTAGTGGCTATGTTCCTTGTGATTGCCGTTTGTTGTGTATAGGCTTCTGCCATTGCTCGTTGCAATTGGTTCTGCCCCTGTGCTAGGGCTTGCATCATCTGTGCAAATTGTTGTGCCATGTCTGTGGCTTGTGGTGCCTGTGCTCCTGGCTGTTGCGCCATGTTGACTTGCTAGCCAGGGATTGAAGCAATCCGGCTTTCCTGCAAGTGATGCTTGTTTTGTGGATCTCCGGTGCCAGAGCCGAAGCGGCTCGGCAACCTTCGATTCGCAGACGGTAGCCGGGTCTTAGAACCGCGGCTCCACTACCATGAACGGAGAATTTAGGCTCTTAAACTCAGTGACTTAGGGTCACAGTCCCAAAGGTTGTAGCTGAAGCTTAGGCACACTTTTAGCTCAAACACGCGTGAGCTCTGGTATCGAAATGAACACAAACTTGAACAAACGGCTGCAGTGAAACATACATCTATACAAGCTATGTCATGTACATGTAACTGGTGCTACATCTGATCAGGTCAAGGTGTACCTGAGATACTGATGGTATGCCTGGCACCCGGGGGGATACCCATAAAGAATCAACAAACATAAAAACCATTTAAGACTCACTCTAATGTTTGGTGGTGTTTGGTGGGAAAGAATCATCCAAAACAAAACCCTTAAATAACCAAAGTTCCCCCAACCATTGAACATTTGGCTTCGTCGTGGTGGCCCTTGTTGTGTGGGCGGCCCTCAAACATGTTGCCGTTGTGTGGCGCAGGATCGGACAGAATCCCCCTTCCAGATTGCATGGTGTTGCACCTTAGGGGTCTTGCACCTGGGAAAACTGAAGGCTCCTGTCCACCTGGCGCACCTGGGACAACTCTCGAGGGCTTTGGTGGACGCAGGAACTACATGGATTTTGGTCGATTAGCAGTTGAGACCCCTGAAAGCTGCGGTTATGTCAAGCTCCCTGAAAAGGGCAAAACTGGTGACCCGTCACAAAGGCGCACCTATGTCTATCAACACCCAAGCTGAGTAGCTACAACTTGGATGGGATCCAGCTCGGCTCGTCGTTGGATTTGCTGCAGTCGGCTGTGCATTACTGTGCAGTCAATGGGCAACTAATACTCACAACCATCTAACACAGTCTCCCGCCATGCCTGTGAATCAACCAAAGAGAATATATTGACAACTTTTATTTGTTGTGGCAAAACCTACCGTGACAAATTCTGAATGTTAAAAATACTTCGAACATCTCTGAAGATCGCGCCTCCCGCTCCAACCTGCAACTGGCCGAGCCGCAACTGTCGGTTCTGCCGCGCATCCGGCGGCCCAAGGCTGCAACTGCTATAGCCTTGCTCTGGGTCGCCAAGCTTCGCGAGGACAAAAGCAGCGTCCGGGCATGGATTGAAGCAGCTGACCGAACGGGAAACCCAAGCATGTTACTGTATATGGATGACAAAAGTAGGTAACCGGTAACGGTATGTCGGTATAAGGACTATATATTGTGAATGTATGACAGGAGCGGGATGGCAAAAGAAAGGGAATTGCCGTCCCCTCAGAAGGCACAAATCTGAGAGATTGTCTGCGACAGTCGCCAAATGATTGAACATTGCAATTTGAATCCATTTGCACCACACCATATGACAGAACTGCCGTGTCAGCTAAGTAATCCCCCTTTCAAGACTCGTGGCTCAAATTACAAAAGGAGCATCCTGTCTATTATTCTATTCCTGTGTGGCTTGTCCAGAGACGACAGCGAGCGACAATCCCACCCTGAGGCACTACGCCAAGGCGCTACGCAAGGACACACCTGAGGGGAAGGTGGTCCGCCACTGGTACTCGTAATATCTCAGTCGACGCGGCTGTCACATGCGCACGCAGGCGGGTCGCGTTGCACGTCAAACGACCGGAAATCCAGGGACCCCGGATGAAGGGACCCGGCATTGGCCACGGCCTACAGCCTCCGATCAAAAGAGGCATATGTATACATGCATAGTTATAATTACTTATACTGTGTGAGTTTTTGACTGCGGTCCAGGAGGCCAAAGCGGAAGTTTTAAGTGTTGGGTTTTAGTAGAACAAAGACAGGAACTCGATACAGTATGAATTTCTGCTCGACATTCTACATCTTGGAGCTTGACGCTTTACGCTTTGGGGAGGAGATTTCCAGTTCATACCCCGGACAAGGTAAAGAACAATGTGAGATCACGTCACAGCCTCTGTGTTTGTTGATTTGCGGATTCTTGGGGTTACTGTAATCCAGGAAACTCACTGAAAGAGATGAGATGAACTGTTAGAATGAAGAGTACCTGCAGCTCTTTAACCTCTCGAATCTGAAAGCCCAACTCAAACACACATTGCTTTCCCAGTCTCGCTTAGCAAAGATGTCTCTCACTTGCAGTCCTATACAGACTTTGCATGGCCATGGCTTTGCCACCTTTCCCCCATCTCCCCCCACTCCCAGGCTCCTGCCACCCCCACTCCAAAGCTCCGACCGACTTGCCCCAGGCTCAGTCCGACTGCGCCAGGCAACGTGTTGCCCGCCTTCTCCAGCCGTCGCGCCATCAAGGCCTGCAGCCGGGCGCTGGCGGGGGCTCCTACTCGAGCCCAGCACAGTGCCACAAACGTGGCCAAGAACTGGTTCCAAAAGTAAGAGGCAAATACAGTAGTGGCTAATTAGTGGGTGTCTGATTCTTTGATGAATTACTTTGCACGTTCAACGTGTCGCAAACAAAGGGCCAAAGGTCTTATTCTCCATCCAACAAACATCAAAAGTGGTGCACTCCCGTGTGTAGAATTGTCTAGATTAAAAATTGTCCTCAAACCAACCATGTTCTAGCAAAAAGGTTCACCTAGTCTTGTCGTCAAAAATCCTCACTGAACAAATGCATTTAATGGACCATCCTTCTTCAATGGACCCTTCTAAACAGTTCGTTATAATTATTACATTCCAACTTGGATTTGCAACCGGGAGCAAAAACAAGAGTATTCCCGAACTTTGGAGATTGTCCGGGAAACTCGGAAACATACTTAAAACAACAAAAAACAGTACCCCCCCCCAAAAAAAAGGTAAACACCTGTCCGCCCCAACACCGCAGGCAGGAACCCAAAACCGAGGTCTGAACCCGACCGACCGCTGCCTCCACGGTCTTCTTGGATCCCTCCGGTGCGATCGTCTCCCGCAGGAGACGTTCCAGCGAGGCGGAGGGCTCCCCGAGGATCTCGCTGATCCTAGGCACGAAGCGGAAGCGGGGGCGCTCGACCGGTCCACCGAATGGGAGGATATATATATATATAGTAATGATTAGTAATGGATATATGCAATTCATTTCAAGCAAATGATCCCAGATCTAATAGGATCCATACTATGATTCATACTATGATCTGTAAACATATATATGCCAGTCCCATGATCGGCTGATCTGGGAATGACTGCGTCTAGTTTCAGCCAATGACCCTGCTCCTACATAGGCGGCTGCTCCCAGTCAGGGTCTGTTAGGGTCGCTCCTGCAGTCTCTGATAGGAGTGACTGCAGGTCTCTTGGACGGCCCGAGTCTCACACCCCAAGACTCTCGAAAGCCAACAGCCAAGCCGTGCGAAGACGCCCCGGGTTCTTCCAATGGACTAGGCGAACGGAGCAACTGGCTACGGGCAAATGGGCGGTGAGTACGGTGAGTCCCTACATGTCGACCCTTACGGCCACCCATGTGATTTGCTCAAGAAACTGGGAAAAAAACTATTCTCCAGAAGGGGAAGAAGGGGATTTACCCACTGGGAACTAGAACATTCCCTTAAGCAAAACCATATGGGATTTGTGCACAAACGAGTTGATTTCTGGTGGGTTCCTCGTGTTGGAACCCGTGCGGACGGATGAGACCCTGCGAAAGCAGCAAAGCAAACGTCGATAGATATTGGGCGTTCCAAAGTCTGAAGGTGTTGTAGGGTGGTTTTCAGGAGGGTGATCGCACAGTGGATGATTGTGGTAATATTCAATGAGAAATCGTTTCATCTTCAGGATTCATGTGCATGGGAAACATGGGTGATTGGCCCACGTATGTCCACCATGCACCATCCCTACAAAGCTGCCAGTAGCTCACCCTAGGCTGGAGAGCTCTAAAGAACGGACGGGTGTGGCAAGGCCATGTCTTCACATGTCTTCCTACGGTTGGATTTGTGCATGTTTGTGCCGTCTAAGGCCATCTATATCTGTAGCCTCCTGGTTGGTGCCAGCACGAACAAACCGGCTCCAGCTACCTTCTTTTTCAGATGTTCCTGTTTCGGTGAGTACGTACTAGAATCGCACGTAGAAACACGGAATCGCACCAGCACCCTGCATCCTTCAAAACAAGTGGCTCTTGAGGTTGGCCAGGCGCCTTCCTTGGAGACCGATCCCACAACACACGCCTCAAAGTCTGTGTATGCAACGATTTTGGATAAACGGTTGACCTTTGGGGTTGCTACGCCCTATAAGGACGCATGGACCAGAGGGTTGGCAACACTGATGAAGTCATACTCAACAAACCCCTGGGTGGCAAGCATGGGCCAACCGTCACAAAATGCAAATGTGTAACTGAAGTGAGCCTTGACAAAACCCAACCCCTCCTCCAAGAAGTGCCACACGTTCACCTTCGTCGCCAGGCCACGGTGGCAAGATCTGCTTCACCACCGACAAGTTCTCGCGTTTTTTCAGCGACCGGTCGCCACCGCCCGGGGGGCCCCAAGCGTTGTCCGGGACCACACCTTCCTGGGGCGAGTAGCGTCCGGGGCGATGAGGAGGAGCCACAGGTCAAGAGCCCAATGTGACGCACCCTCATTTCAATCTTCACAAGTGGTGAATACTAGCTGTTGCATAAACTTGAATATCCTTAACATTGAATTTATAAATAATATGTAGCATATACGTATTTTGTGTAGATGAATGTATTCATATATACACATATATGTATGTATATTACATATGTGTATGTGTTGCGCCCAGTCTCCGCAGCCGGCGCTCTCTCTTCTGGAGCGCACCTGAACATCTTGCTAACCGATTGGCCTGCGATACTGCCGTTCGGCAGCATGCTGCGCTTGCCAGCTGGCGCGTGCACACAAAGAATGGTGATAGTTGGCTCACGCAGCTCTGAGGGCAATGGGCACCATTGGTTTGTGATTTGATCCTATAGTCGGATGCTTTCCAGACTGGAGACCTGACTGCGGTGGGGAAGGCGGTGGTGACCCGACAGAAGGCTAAAAGGTAAATAATGAAACCAATTATATTCTAAAACACCCCAAGACCGACATGTGATGCAAAAACATTGTGGTCACATGGGCCTTGTGCGTTGCGTTGTGGATACTGTTTTTGCAACAGACTAGCAGAAGTGCAAGGATGGATAAGAAACCAAGGCAGCAAATGGATCACACAGAGATGTTAAACAAACATTCAGCCCTCAAAAGTGTGGATCCCACCTTCGAATGCTGGTTGATCGTGATGTGATCCTTCAAGAATCGTCGACAGCGATCGGTATTTCGGGGTCCAGGCGACGAGTGTTTCACAGCCTTGGCATACTTGGGCATCTGCAAAATCAAACTGCAATCCTTTTCGGCTCTTTTGTTGCAATGAAGGACATAGTCGCGCAAGCCTCCAACCACTTTTTGCCTTGTAGCTCTTGGCAGATTCAGTGCGGAGGATAACCTTCTAACTTCTTGCCTTGAGGCAGCGTGCAGCAATTAGATATTTAGATACCACTTTAGCTTCCGAATTGCACCAGGACCAGGCGCTCTCCTGGTAGCTTTCTCTGGCTGAAGACGAAGCAGAACAAATTAATCTGGGTGACTTCATGATCCTGCACTTCTGAACCGCTTGTGTGCGCTTGCAGCCATGGAGCCGAAATCTGCAGCCACTTGCCTGCAACGAGGGCGCTGGAGAACTTGTGCTTCTAAGAATTGCGGATTCCGGCTCCACTTTGCACACGCCATCTGGCAACACATTCTGTTCACGCACACGTCTGGCAAATCTTTTTCCACGAAGCCCCATTTGTGCTCTGTATCGTTCTCCATTGGCTCTTCGGCTCGTTGCCTTCATCCCCTTTATCTGTCTCCATGTCTTCTTCTTCCGTAGAATCAAAAGGGAAGTCAGAGGAGGGTTCTTCCCCGGTAATGTTCAACTCGCTTTAAGCAGGTCATCTGAAATTATACAGTCCAAAATTTCCAGAAGACCGAGATCAAATTTGAATTATTGCTCGACAAACTTTTTGAGTTTTGAGTCCAAAATAAGACATCAAGCTTCTTGCCAAGATGCAGAATTTAAAAACCAGCTACAAAAATGAAAAAAAGCGGGACAGCAGAATGAAAGCAAAACGAAAACATAATGAACGCAAATGAAAACAGAATGAAAGCAAAATGAAGGAACATCGAACATTTCCAATTTCATTAAATAGCCGTCATGAAAGGCTTCATTACAAGAGGCTTTACAAGTGCCAAGGATCCACAATAGGGAGGAGGTCCAAAATGAAAAGCCCTCTCCCTAGTGTGGTGTGCTTTGGAATATTTTCCTGTACTACATTTCTCTTTTGAAACATACTCTTGTAAAATAGCAGCACAAAGAAGGAAACAAAATGAAAGAAAATGTAAAATAACATGAACTTGCATCATCCCGGGTACGTTCCGAATCTCGCCTTAGCACTGACTGATAAAGCTGAGACCTGTACACATGCTGTGCGCAGTCAAGATTCGGGAAAGTTTAGGAGAGCGTTTGCTGGAGCTGCTGCTTGTTGACGCCTCTTTGGCAAAGACAATGTGCGGCCCGTGAGGACCAGGTTCTTCATTCACCATGCGAGCCCATAGTTTCAAAGTTGAGGATCGTCGCAATCTGCGCGTGCTGCTGACATCCAGCGCCACAGTCGCCTGCCCTTGATTGAGAGTTACAGAGCCTTGCACTGAAATGGTGTGAGCACAGCAACATAGAGTCACAGAATCAATGACATAGAAGGCATACACAGGAGTGCCTCACCTGTTCGTGTTCTCATACCACCTGCCACTTGGAAGTGTTGCGCTTCAAAGGTCTTCGCAAGGCAAAAGCAAGAAGCAAAATGGCAAAGCACTCAGGGATATCACGGTGGCTTCTGCCATCCCAAAGTATTTGCACCTGGAGGTTGCTTTAGAGCACGTTTTTAGACCACAACAAAAAGCAAGTGGTGAATGTTTTTGTGGGGAAGAAGGTGATGTTCATGTTGGCGTGTAGGAAAAGGTGTATTACCACGTGCACGATTGGGGTAAGCAAGATTGCATCGCATTAAGGGACGGACATCAATCTTGCTCTTGGTATTCGGTGGGTTTGCTTTGCAAAGTAAAGTTGCTCTAATCCGTCTGAGTCTAATCTGCGACAATCCGCATTCCGGATCAATCTGGTATAGTCCGTCATCCTACAAGGTGCACCTTCTCTCAGAAAAGGGACCCGGAACTACGAACTGCACACCCCGCGGTTGGCTGGCGCGATTGGCTCCAGCCGCGCGTCATCTGCGGAGCGGTGGGCGCAAGGATTTCAAAGGACCTTGTCTCAATGCTTATGCTCCTGAGACTCCTCCTGACCCTTAGCTTCGGCGTGCGCTGCCCATTCTTATTTCGGCCAGAAGCCCGACATGGGCACTCCAATTTGGAGGAACCGCTGATGGGGGCACTGCAATCA